TCATAAACTTGCTGTACACCAGCACCTCCAAGGTCACACAGGAAAGGAGGACACCCCTCTAGACCTGCATGAAACCATCCAAAAGACAGTCTGGCCAGGTGGACAAGCAGGTGTGTCCAAGTCTTTAATCATGCCTCCAACAACAGGCAGAGAAAGGTCAATGAACTGAGTCAAGCCAGTTCAGGAGTCTGGGCCAATTCATCATCCTTGGTGCCAACAGACCTTCTTGGAACAACATTCAAAGAGAGCAAGAGAGAGTCATTTCAGATAGATTGCCAAATCTTATACATGGTGACTGCAGGGAGCAGTTCCTGCTCTCCCCATGCCCAAAACAATGAATGGATGCATTCCTCCATTCATATAGAGAAGGGTCTCTTCTTATGCCATCTGTGAAGCCTGAACACTTCTAGCGAAGACTGCCAGATGGTCAACAGAAAACCTATTCATTCTCTATAGTTTCCTGGTCTATTCTTACTGCCTGTCCCACATGCATTCAGTCATCATCATCACCATCACTATCATCACCACCACCACCACCACCATCATCATCATCATCATCATCATCATCATCATCATCTATATAGAGCTCTTGTACCAAACACTATTCGAGAGGCTTTCAGGGATATTTATGCATTTGACACTCATAACAATGATATGCACTAAGGATCATTATTTTCCTCATTTCCAGCTGAAGAATCTATGACATACAAATATTTAAATAATTGATTTAGAGTCATACAAGTTTGAGTCTAACTTGTAATACAGGTATATAGATTTGTCCCATGAATTAGCTCACACTATTAAGGAGCTGAGAAACCCCATGATTTTCCATCCACAAGCTGAAGAACCAAGAGAGACAGCAGTACATTTATATCAAAGCCAAGTCCAAAGGCCAGAGAGCAGAGGCACCCATGGTATATATCCTGGGCCAATTCTGAAGGCTTCAGACTTGAGAGCATTGATATCAGAGCACAGAAAAAAATGGATGTCACAATTCAAACAGAAGGTTAGTTTACCTCCACCTGCCTTTTTGTTCTACCTAGAGCTTCAGAAGACTAAGGGACTCCCACCTACATTGGTGCAGGCAGTGTTCCTTACTCAGTCTGCTGATTCAAACACTAAGCTCTTCTGGAAATCCCCTCATAGACCTGCTCAGAAGAAACACTTTACCATTTCCCAGTATCCCTTAACCCAGGCAAATGGGCATGTAAAATTAACCATCACAAGTCCACCCTTTCTGAGCTTGATGCCCATATATAACTTTTTGAATTATACTCAATTTCTAGACAAAGAACAAAGTCATAATTCTACCTAACACGATACAATTAGACCTTGAATAACCATAAGCACAAGAAACTTCTTCCCTTGATAAGAAGATAAAGTCTCTGAGTGCTGATTAGTCCTCTTTTGATACCCTGTAACTTAAATACTAAGATGTAAAATTAACAGTACTTATGTGAAGTACTGATGTGAAGTCAATACATCCAATCTTATATGATAAAGGCTAAAAGAGGAAGGAAGACAGCTGCTTGCCTAATATATATATACAATTTATATAAATATATATTTCCATATATTTATTCATGACGAAGTTGGAGGAAATATACATGATAGTTATTAAAGTCTCTATTTCTATGACAGGCTATAAGGTCATAGAAAAGGCAGTACTTATAACTCTCTCCTGTGCATTCTGTGTTCCGTCTGTTCTCAGTCAAGCGCCTCAGCTGACGGTGCTTCTTTGCCTGGTAGAGTAACATAGATCTTCATTCCTGAAGGTTCTAGACCATCCTACCTGGACTGACAGTTGTTAGAGTTTTCTGTGGAACTTAATTAACCTCAGGTCACAGTGACGCCTTATGGATCCCTATGTTTCAGGCACCCCCCCCCCATTATGAAGTGATCCAGTTTCCCCTCCTTAATTCAGACTAACGACCAAGCCATTCCCCTTACTCTTATCTTGTTGTATTGGCTCTGAGGCACAAGGAGCCCAAAGTGGCTAAGGAATCATCACTGTTTTCCTGGTGGAAGGATTTCCTGGTGGAAGGCTTCTGTAGTACCAGAGGACAATGTAATGGATAAAGGAACCCACGCTTCTGCCGATGGGTCACTGGGTGATAGTAAATGACATCAATCCCATTACCACTGCTTGATTCCTGGGTATTCAGCCTTGACCATCAGAGAAACAGCACCATATATTGATGCTGACTCTGAGAATACTTGCAACTATTTGGTGAACCTTGCTCCAATTCCACAAATTCGTAAAACTCACTCCTAAATTTTTGTTCTTCTAGAATCATTGATGGTACAAAAACTTTCTGTTTCAGTCTATTCTGACTGCTCTAACAAAGTAGGTGACTTTTAAATAACAATTTATTTCTTGTGGTTGTAGAAACCAAGAATTTCAAGGTCAAGAGAACGGCAGACTCAGTGTCAGAGCCCATTTCTGTGCACACTGCTGTTTTCTTGGCATAACTTCGCATGGTCGAAAGGATTAGCCATTGCTCTAAAGGTCCCTTTTCTTTTGTAAAATATTTTATTTATTATTTATGTTTTTGTGTGGATGACTGTATTGTCTGCATGTGTGTAAGTGCACCCATGTCATGCAATGCCCATGGAGGTCTGAAGAGGACATCAGATTTCCCTGAACTAAAGTTACGGACAGTTGTTAGCCAGCATATGGGTGCTGGGAATCGAATTCAGGTCTTCTGCAAGAACAGCCAGTGCTGTTAACCACTGAGCCATCTCTCTAACCCCATAAGGTTCCTTTTTGAAAGATATGAATGGCACTCATGAAGGCTTCTTATTCTTAAACTGATCACTTCCCAAAGTCTGACCTCTAATACCATCAACCTGAGGGCTTAGGATTTCATTGTGAATTCGGGGGGGAGATAAAACATTCAGACCATTGCTGCACAGAATCAGACATTGCCAAACAACATAGTCTATGCTTCTGGCCACTGTGATCTATGATCACTGGAGCTGGTGTACTAATAAAAGAGAAAATGAAAGGTACTACAGAAGTACCTTCTACAGGAGGATAAACGTCCTGAGTATGAATCTAACACAGAGGAAGCTGAGCCAAGAAGCGGAAAAAGAAATTACCAAAGATTTTATTGAAGAGCCTTGACTTACTGTGCCCAGAACTAGGCTACCTACCCCTTGGGCTATTCAATTTCAGGAACCCAAAACTTCCCTTTTCATTTAATCTTATTTAAATTGAATTTCTGTTTCAGACACTAGAAAAAAAAATCTGAAAGAGACAGAATATGGGAAATACCATCGCCTTAATTACAGGCCCTGGTCTGTGTAAACATTCAGAGCTGCATATTGGAGTGAGACAGTCACCTCAAACTTCCTCGCCTGTTTCCCTGAGAATGAGCAAAGGATGTGTGACCAAAGAGCCACGGAGAACAACGTGAGGGAACCTGACAGCAAACCGACCTGCAACTTGGAGATCTCAACCTCAAGTATCACATTTCCCAAGCATCACAAGTTCTAGAGTGTTCAGGTTGCCATGGCAATAGACATGCCCCCCCCCCCATAGGTGGATGACCAGTAGTAGAAGACCAGCAGGAGTCAAAGAAATTCAGTGACAGAAGGCAGTCACTTCTCATTTTGGGCAAACCAAGGTTAGCTGCCAATTCTAAGTGAGAAGCAAGACCAGTACAGGAAACAAAGCCAATGGGAAAAATTCCAGGAAGGTCAAGCAAAACAGAAACAGAAAGAGCCGGGAGTGAGATGGTAGCACAGGGGTATGCTGACTGAAGTTCATTACTGAGCAGTGGGAGACTGTATTGTGGAAAGCCCTATTAACTAAGGCAGTTGCAGCTTCGGGTAAAAGAATCCCCTGAACAGTAAGACTTTACCAAAAAAAGTCTCTTGCCTCACCTATCTAGTTGGGAGATAAGGAGACTCGTAGGTGACTCCAGTCAACAGTTATTTATCAATGACACATGTTCCTTCAACCTTTCCTCTCCACCATACTCAGGATATCACCTGCGTCTCCCTCATTGACCCCAAAAGGCAACCACAATGCTAAGCATTATAACCCTCACACAAAAATGTCCAAGACGACAAAGGTACAGATGTCTTTCTCTTATAAAAAAGAAAACTTTTTTCCTGAAGCCCTCTCCTGTGTCCCATCATGTCCCACTTGTTCTTATCAGTGGCAAGACAGTCTTAAAAAGCAAGTGTTGGACAGTTTCCCCTTCCAGCAAAGTGGTGGATGGAAGAGGATGAGGGCTGAGAATGGCTGTTGTATAGGCAATCAACAAACATCCAAAACTTCAGACAAGCTTTTACCATATCCTTATATCACCTATATTGTCGTTGACTTAAAATTAAATTTGAATCATCTTTTATTTAACCTAAATAACTTTTCTTAAATAGGAAATGTTACATCTGTTTTATAAGTGTAAGTAGATTTTCCCAATCCATATTAAGATAAATATAAGTGATTAAAACAAAAAATATTCATGTTTCATACCTATAAGCATCACCTGACTCACTAACAGTAGTCAGACTTTGGTGGTATTTGTTTCGTGAAACGGGATTCCACAGTGTAGCCTAGGCTGACCTGGAACTCACAAGCCTCAGTCTCTTGAGTATTAAGATTGCAGGTGTGTGCCATCACAGCTAACACTTTGGAATGCATAGTTGTGGGATCAACTCCTGTTCTAATTCTTGGGCCCTGATATGAAGACTTCCCCACAAAGTGCCCCATCGCAAAGTGCCATCAAAGCTACCTTCTTAGGGTAGCACTACTGAAAAAGTCTCGGTCATCACACTCAGGGCCCCAAAGTCAAGGTTAAGTCACTTAGCAAAATCAGAGAGGGGAAACTCATTGTTTTCCCCTTTCATAAAGGAAACTCATCCCAGACGTTGTCAGGGCCACCACATGCCTTGGAGTGAGCATGCCCCCCTAAGGAGGCTCACTCTTATTTTTCCAGAAACCTGCAGTGATCCTGGACGGGAAAGGGAGGCCACTCTTTGGTACTTACATCAGAGGCTGGGCCTTTGTCGGCGCCAGGGCAGGAGAATGTGACAAATTCATGGCAGCGCTTGTGCACAACAAAGCAGCAGACTGCAAAAGAAGAAAATAAGGATGGGAGGAAGGGAAGAAGGAAAGGATGGGAGAGAAGGGGGAGGGAGACGTGGTTAGGTTTCTCCAACTGAAAACACCAGGCAAAATACCCTCAGCTTTTACATCATGTCTGCTGTTGAGTACACTTGACATCTCAAACAGATGTTTAAAGTTAAATAAGGGCCTGGCAAATGGCTCAGTGGATAAGGTGCTTACCGCACAAGTGTGAAGAATGGAGTTTGGACCCCCAGAATCCATATTTCTTAAAGCCAGGCAAGCAAGGTGGTCATCTAATCCCAGCCCTCAGGAGTCAGAGGCAAGGGATCCCCAGAGCCAGCTGGCTAGCTAAACCAGCTGAAACCAGCTAGCTCCAGATTCAACAAAGACCCTGCCTTAATAAATAAAGTGGAAAGCCATCAAGGAAAATACCCACTGTCAACTTTGGACCACCACAGGTACCCACACACATGTGCGTGCACACCTGTACACACATGTGCCCCCACACATACAAACATGCATGGGAGGGAGAAAGGGAGAGAGAGACAGAGAGAGACAGACAGAGACAGAGAGACTTAAAAGGAAAAAATTAATTTAACAGTGATTCAAAGGTTCACATATACCCAGAGGTACAACCTCTTCAAAGACCACTTGAAGGGCCTGATCTTTTACTGATTTGGATATAGGAATGCTTGTTTTTTGCGGGGAAGAGGTGGTTTTGATTTGGGAGTTTTGGGGGGTTGTTTTGTTTTTGTATTTGTTTGTTTTTTGAGACAGGGTCTACCTGTAGCCCCAGCTGGCCTGGAATTTGCTATGTAGACCAGGCTGGCCTCACCTCCATCTTACAGAAATCTATCTGCCTCTGCCTCCCAGTGCTGGGATTAAAGGCATGAGGCACTACGCTCAGCTAAGGATGCTGGTTTTTCAGATAAGATGCCAGATTAAGTAGTTGGCTTTTATTTAGGTTCATAACACATATGGAAAATGTGTCTTTAAGCACTAGACTCCTACCTGGAGAGGCGATTAGAACAAGACAGGTGTGGAGGAACAGTGAACAAGAACGTGAGAGGCGCGCTCCATCTCACCAGAGCAGTGTCAAATCAGTGCAGGAGTGGAAGAAACAGACAACAGGCTGGGGGTGTAGTTCAGGGGTAGGCTTGCCCAGCACATGTGAAGCTTGGGGATGAAGAGGAGAGGGGACTAGGGAGGAAGGGAGAAAAATGGGAGGGAAGGCAAGAGAAGGGGGAAAGGGGGAGGGAGAAGATGGGAGGAGGAGAAGGAGAGAAGAAAGGAGGGGGAAAGGAGGAAGGGAGGAGGAGGAGAGAGGAGAGGAGGAGGAGGAGGTATATGTTCATAACTTGAAAAAGATCAAAGAAATACAAGGCTATTCAGAAGGCTGAGGCAGGAGGACTGAACGCTCAGAAGCTGTCTGTGCCATGGAGTGAGTTCAAGGCCAGCTTGGGCAATTTTGTGAGACTAAAAGTAAAAAATATGAAATGGGTTGGCGTGTAGCTTAGTAGTAGAGTGCTTGCCTAGCATGTGTGAGGCTCTGGGTTCAATCCTTACTAAGGAGGAGGAGGAAGAGGAGGAGGAGGAAGAAAAGGAGGAGAAGAGGAGGGGAGGAGGAGGAGGGGAGGAGGAAGAGAGAGGAAGGGAGGAGGAGGAGGAGGAGGGGATCAGAAGGAAGAAGGGAGAAAAGGGGAAAGAGGTCAAGATAAAGGGGAAAAGAGGGGGAGGGGAGGGAAGGTGGGACAATGAGGAAGAAATAGAGGAAAGAAGAGGAGGAGAGGAGACCTGGAGGAGAAGAGGGGAAGGAGGACAGGAGGAGGAAGAGAGGAAGGAGGCGGAAGAATGGAAAAGGAGGAAAGATAGGGGATCAGAAGGAAGAAGGGAGAAAAGGGGAAAGAGGTCAAGATAAAGGGGAAAAGAGGGGGAGGGGAGGGAAGGTGGGACAATGAGGAAGAAATAGAGGAAAGAAGAGGAGGAGAGGAGACCTGGAGGAGAAGAGGGGAAGGAGGACAGGAGGAGGAAGAGAGGAAGGAGGCGGAAGAATGGAAAAGGAGGAAAGATGAAGAGAAGGGGGGCAGGAGGAGGAGAGCCAAGAGGAGGATGGCAGGAGGAGGGAAAAGGAGGAGGGAGGACAGATGGACAGGAAGGCAGAGGACAATGAGGTAGCAATGCTGTTATGCTGGCAATCTGCAACCGAATACATATGAACATATATATGCTTGAATACATGTGAGCTAAATGACTCCTTGATACCGCTGCACTATTGAGGGTTTCACTGGTTTGAAGAGGGGCAGTTAGAGAGAATATACACAAAATAAAATGTTTTAGTTTTGTTATTCAAATCTTCAACCTCTAGACTCTTGGTTCCTAGAGGAGGGCTACCCTGCATTAGGGACCAGTTCAGAGCCTCTGTAACGTACATATTCCAACAAACAAAAACAAAACAGGAAGCTTCAAAGCCACTTCTAGAGATGTGATTGGTATGGACCCCACTCATCAGCAGCTACTAATATCACAAATGATCCCACCTGCTTTGGATGACAATGTGCCCTGTCTATGAACGTTTGCCAAATGATGAACTCTGAATGGGTTCAACTACAAAGTCACAGAAAATGCAAATGACCGGAACGTGTTAAATGATATTACGGAAACACAATCACCACCCCTCCCCCAAAGCCCCCAGAACATGGCAACTGTAAAAGCAACTGGTGAGGATTATTCAACAAGGAAGCAACATGGAAACAGCAGAGGAAAATTAGAAGGAACGTATATGCAAAAAAGTTCAGAAACATTTCAACTAAATGCAATACGCAGGCTTTATTTAAATCTTAATTTGTATAAAACAGCAATTTTAAAAACTACAAGGCAATTAAGGAAAAAAAGGATATAGTCACTTTATCTTTATGTTATTAGGAATTATTCTTACTGATATTGGACAAGGATCACCTTTGGTGTGATAGTGGCATGATGGTTATTGTAATAGAATATTTCTGAGGTCTACATATTAAAAGCTTTGTGGACAAAATAATCCAACTAAAGGTAATTCAGTGTGTTCAGGAGGGTGATGGATTGAAAAGAGTTGATCACAATGATTCATTATTAAACCATTATTGAACCCGTGTGATGAACACAGGAAGATTTAATACTAATGTGTCTACTTTTATATATTTTTGATGTCTTCCATAAAATAAAATTGTAAGACAGAAACAGAAACTGAGAGACAGAGAGGCCAAATGACAAGACAGGGATAGAAGGACTGTGCACTGAAATGTGCTGAGGTTTATAATCTGAGGGAGACTGTGGATATTGAGGAACTACATAAGGGGTGAGTTTAAATGTATGCGTTAACTATTAAGGCTGGAGGTGTAGCTGAACAGCACAGTGCTTGCTCAGCGTGTCCAGGACTGTAAACGCCAACAATAATAGCAAACCTTTGAGCCAGTGAGATGGCTCATCAGGGAAAGATGCCTGGCAACCCAAGTTCAAGTCCCAGGATCCACATGGTGGAGAGAACTGACCCCTGCAAGCTGTCCACTGATCTCCACACACATGCCATAGGATGCACACACCCACACACGCACATACAGAACATACAAAATAAAAATGTAATAATTCTTATAAATAATAAACAAGAATTAAAAATAACAGTAGAAATACTATGCACTCAGTCTCTAAACTAGTCTAAGGAAACACTAAGCAAAGAAAGCAACCCAATTACACTTGAAAAGACTTTCTTTCTGCCCCAAGGCCAAGAAGGATATTTTTTCAAACTAGCATTTGGTATCATTTCTACTTTAGGCTCTTTAATCCATCTGTAATTTCTTACAATCTGATGTGCACCAGGAATCTATTTCGCCTTCCTCCACTCCAAATAGGTACCCAGTTGTCACAGCAGCCTTGATTGAATAATTCTGCTCTTCTGCGTGGATTTCCAATGCCAGCTTTATTATATGTTCAATAATTATATACGCTGAGTCTGTCTTTGGGCCTTCTGCTTTGTGCTGCTGATCTGTCTTGAGGTATGGCAATAGAGGCTTTAATTATAGCAGCTTTATAACATGTTATGCCTTGGCACAGCAAGTCCTCCCTCATTATCCTGATTTTCAACATTTTCTTGGCTATCATCGCAGGTTTATTCTTCCAAGTGAACTTTAGAAGCAGTTTATCAAAAAAATTTTAAACACCAATGGGATTTTATTGGAGTCACATTAAGGCAATCCCCATCTTCAAAAAAATAATAATAATTAGGACTTTGATTGAACTGGTCTTAAATTTTAGAAATTAAATTCAAAATAATTGACACTTTTACATCAAGTCACTGCTCCAGGAATTGATTGTTCCCTTGTTAAAACCCTTATTTCATGTCTCCCAGAGAGCCTTTCATTTCCTCCACATTGTTCCTAACAGTTCTTATTTAGGGCCATGTGAGCAGTCCTTTTTCAATGCACTTTTTCTGTTGTGTTTTCCAACTGGTCATTGTTTACAAATAATAGAATTTCAGTGTATGGATTTTATAAGTATTTTTAAAACTCATAATCATTTCTGTGGATTTTCAGTTGCCTTGAGTTTTCTAGCTAGAAAATCACATTTTCCCAAGGAATCGTATTTTTTTTCCCTCCTCATATATACACCTCCTCTTCCCCCCTATCGTATTTCTGCGTCTAGAACTTTCAGAACATTGTGCAGTAAAGGGCTGGTTGCTGCCCTTTCCTGAGTCAGCCAGTTTTACTTCCCCTCCCTCCCCTCTGCTCCCTCACAACCTCAAAGGCTGCTTTTCACTTCTTTTCAATCTAACTTTTACAATTTGTATTTTTCTTTGGAAACTGCCCACTGTGTTCTTCCCCATGTGTCTGCATTATAGCATCGCATCTATGATGACTTTAACCCTTTCCTCGGTCTGTCTTCGTGTTGTGTTGTTAGGGGAGTTCTTAAGTATTCGCCACAGGCTTAATTATGTTTTCTATTTTATTTTGTAATTAATTATTTTTGGTACT